CACGTTTATTTGCGTAAAAATAAATACAGAATGCTTTTTTCAGTTGTAATTTTGGCAAAAAATTTGTTGAAATATAACTTTATTTAACTTAAGTCGTGCTTTTATTATGAAAGTCTTCCTATCGAAAATGTTGAATATTAAAAGGAAACTGATTCATTTTAAAAGTTGAAAAAAACCTATTTTCTATATATCTTATACATAAAAGGCGTTCAAATAAATCAAAAGTTCGAAAAAACATACATAATATACACGCCATGAGTGAAATGAGAAAATTACAGCATAAACCTGGCATTAATTTTGTTAATTACATCATTTAATTCGAACCAAAGAGATAATGCGATTTTCATTGACTTTGTTTGAAAATGATTGCATTTTGATTGCAAACGAGCACACATTTTCTGCATGCATTTAATATTGAATGGATTGATAATGTAATGAGGAAGAGAGAGAGAGAGAGAGAGAGAGAGAGATTGCAAGGGATTTTAATCGTTACATTTGTATGTAGCATGTCTCTGTAGCGATCAAGACCGTGCATATATGCATAATCGAAGAAGCCCATCCAAGTATTTAAATCAATGGTGAATCACGACAAAACAAAGAGATCAACAGCATATACAATTCGGCGATGGATATACAATGGATTTTATTGAGTGGCTTGGTCATTGTGTTGTACAATTGTACATTCAATATCAAGTTGCCTAAAAATACTGTAACATATTGAATGTGATTGGAAAACCAAAAATGTTAGTCAAATCAATTGTCGCTTCCCTTTGATCCACATTCTACAACAGTTTATGCGAAACAATAGCTTGCTGACTCAATTAGGCACACAGCGTATAGCCGATTTTTTGTTCCTTTGTTTTTGTGTTTGCGCGGCTTTTTTTCATTCTATTTCTTTCATTTTCGGAACAGTTTGGATTTTCTATGTTTTCTTCTTGAACATGTGCGAGAGCAAGCAAGATATGCGCTTCGAATTAATTGGATAATATTGTTTTAAAAGCTTCAATCGATATTGCTATGCAGCAATGATTATAATCATCCAAAGTTTTGATGACACACTGACCATTTCAATTAATTCAATTCCATTTTGGCTTCTCCATGCTTCGTTCTTTCACACACAAACACATACACAAAAAATGCACATACACAATTGGAGCAAACAAAAATATTGCGAATAATGCGGTTATGTAGTAACACTTCAATGCCCCCCTCTCTGATTTTTTTTTCCATTTTGCCCATCACAAGATCGTTTAATTCAAGCGATTCGAATTTTGTCAAACAATATAAATCAGTCGGTTCGTTGTACTAATGAAGTAATAGCCTACATATCGGCAATAGATAAACAATGGAGAACATTGCGAAGCGTGAATTGAATCGAACAAAGCCAAATTCGAATATGTGTAATTATATCACAATGTGCGCTATATCTACATATACGTACAATTAATATATACAAATTCGATTGTTTGTGTGACTTTCGGTTGTTGTTGCCAACATTCAGTGCTTAACGAAAGATAACAAAGTCAATATACACATATACACATTGAAATACAAAATCGATTGGCTAGCTGACACACCAAGCACAACTAGTCTATTATTTGGTATATTGTGTACAGCACAAAATACACGATGAACCCCCCTCGTCTTCATCGCCTCCCGTAAAATAAAATGAAAAAATAAAACAATAACAACAATCAAATTGAGTTCAAACTCGGACCAGGCACGACAGATCGAATACCGAACGGGAACAATCCCGTTAATGCCATTACAAGCGATTGATTTTTCTACCACTAATGAAATTTTGGGTTGTAAATATTTTAAATGGACAGATTGCCATTGTGCAATCTTATTTTCATCTGACCGGAATTTAAATGTAAAAATAGAGACCGAAAAACGGAGTATGTATGTAGTGGAGTTGATCAAAATGAAAATAGACCACTTGGTTAAGTTAATAAGCTTCGTCAATTAATCGAAAAGAGTGCGACCAGAGAGTGAGAAAAAGATTTATAGTGTGCTTGAAAGTTGGAAAGTCATCGTATAATCAAAATGTGTCCAAGTTGTTGGACATTCTTTTTTTTCTCTATCGCTTGTTCGATGGCAAATGTATCGAAATCAATTTGTGTGCTCGCAAGAAAATTACACATACTCAACATCAATCTTCGGCACAGTCAACAGGCCAAGCAGATGCAAATAAATGAACCATAAATATGTATAGCGACCATCGACAATTTTTCGGATCTAAAGTAATGGCATCGAGGATGATGGCATAATAAGAGTTTGGAGATGAAACATACACTGGTGACAATGTATGCTTTAACCATGCTGTATGTATATTGCCATAAGCCTAACAAGAAAGATACGCTCTTTGGCACGCTTCGCATATGCAATGGATGAAGCTGAGGTACGAAAAGCACACACTCAACAAAATTTTAATGGCAAAACCAACCAGTACAACATTACCAATATTGAACATCTTTCTTTCGCTACGTATCTATATATATATATTTATATATATATATCTATATCCACAACACGTTTTCAACATTTGAGCATGAACAACTGACACACTCCCGTCTTTCTTCTATTAAACAATTTTAACATGAGAGGAGCTTGTGACCATACCTTCTTTCGTTATGTGTGACCTACATATTTAGAGATTGTGCGTGCGCATCTAATCAATACTAATTTTCCAAAATGGCCGAGCTTTAGTATGTACGAGCAACAGCAGCAGTAGCACACGTTCCATTCGATGTTCAGTACTTTGTCACAAATCCGTCTGCATTGCTCTACATTGAAATCGGCTGGATGAAGAGTTCTTTTTTCTCTTTTTTTTTCTCTGTGAACTATTCAACATAAAACGGTTGGCCGAGAAGGCATAATGCGAATTCTGATTTCAATAAAATGGATTCATTTAAAGCTTTTGCCCATTCTTATTCACTCTACCAACTGTTTTATTGGATATCCAGCTCTCATTGTTTCGTGTTTCGGCAACAATTCAACAGATTTCTTCAGTATACACAAACAAAACTTGGCCTGCTTTTGTTCTCTCGTGCTCCCAATCTTTTTCCTTCTCTATTCAACGCATCACATACACGCGGACTTCCTTACTTTTTCTCTGACATAAACTCTTTCAGTTTCCAGATAACATCCAAACATTTTGAATGTGTGTGTGTGTGTGTGTATTTCTATAGAAGGGAATAAGGTCATTGTAAACAATTCAAATGATGTGCTTTCGACAGCGCGCACTTTCATTTAAATGAGAAGACATTGCCTATAAAACATTATCATTGAAATTCGAGCGCCCACACGCCATCACGCATTTAGTAATCTCTGTATTAATTTTCTTCAAAAAATGAAATTTATACCCGAAAACTGAAAACGCAGCATAGATGTGTCAATGAAGTAAACAAAATGTAACGCAAACCATCATATTCCCTTTGAAATTAGAAAGAAAGAAAGAAAAAGACTTTCGAACTTTTCGAATGTGTATGCCCGCAATTTTAACTATCGTTTGAAATCCATCATTTCAAATAAAATTTAAAGCATTTGGTTAATTTAATATATTTCTTGTTGTTATAAAAGGGCAAAAAATGCATTTGTCGTTAAAATTCACGTATTACGAAAAAAATAATATACCCACACATCCGCATTTTTGCAATTTGAATTGAATGGGGGGGCACCCATTAAGATGAATAAAGTTTGATAAATTACGTTCCGAAAGTCACAAGTGGATAAAATCATTGCACAAAAGCGAAATAGAGATGGCGAAAGAGAAAAAAAGTAATAAAATAAAAATGCTACTGCGAGAAAGTGAAGTGATTTTCCAGAATAACGGGAACAAAAACGAACGACTGAAATGAAACCAATGTACTAAACGAAAAAAATATGCGAAATATAGTCATGGAGTACATCGATGAGATAGCAAGTATCCCAAAACACTAAGCATCCAGTGGCACTGTGTATATTCGACGATTTTCACATATAATATGCATAAATAAAATATTGTTTATTCATGGTCTTTTCCGTTACATTTACTGATTTCAGTATTCTGGCCAAATATTCATGTGCGTTACGTATTTTTGCGTGTGCGAGGCAACAGCTTCAAATAGCACCAAACACACACACACACACCACACCACACACAACAATACTTTTCATTTTGAGGCTGAAAGAAATTCCGGGTTTCTTTTCCTATTTGGCCACTGATTCCACTGATTCTACTTTTATACTTATATTTCTGTACCGATAAAAATATAAATTATTTACGCACAAATGAGTAATAAAATTGTATTGCGTTCGCCAAAATGCCAGCTCATTGTGAATTTTGCGTGTGTGTGTGTGTGTGTGTGAGAGAGAGAGAGAGAGAGAGAGAGAAAAAAGAAATATTTCGTGCGTATGTGTGTGCATGTAAGTTTGTAGACCGAAAATATGTCGTTTATAATGCGACGGCACATACAATCCAACAAATTCGAATAGACGGTACGGTGCTCAATTGTTTATCACTTGAAAAATCGGAACAAACACCATGACTGAAAGAACACACATATTATATTTACCGTTACATTCTCGGAATTGTTTCCTTTTATACAATGAACAAATCATCGAAAAATCCGTATATTTTCCGTTGTCAAATATATCATTACGTTTAAGCATCGAAGACACATAAATACATGGTAATTTGGTGTATTAAAAGGAGAAAAAAAATCAGCTTGCTTTATTGAGAATCGACATCTTTTGTCGAATAATTCGAATTCGACGAAATCAATTGATGCGGTTAAAATATCAAGAACATTTTCATTGAAAATATAAAATGAATGAAACGCAGTAATTCACAAAATGTATCTCAGTTTCTCTGATTGGCTTTACATTGGGTTTTCGTTTTTCCAAAAAAAAAAGAGACTACCCGTCGAAGGGATGAAGTATTTTTTGTTCTGGATTTATTTCCACTCGTTAATGTTAAATGCTCGTTCATTCGTACACCGAGCACAACAATGACTATATTTATCCCCCTTTTTTCGCTCTAATTACTGAAAAATGCACCATTCCGTGTTTCATGTAAATAATAGCTTTATCTCAATTAATTAAGCAAAAGTTTACAGTTTGAATAATGTGAAATGATTGTCGCAAATTATTTGGCACTTCTCTTCCGTTTGATATCCGCTCACTCATAAGTTATGAGTCATAACGGATGAGCACCCATCAAAAAATTATATTTCGTTATCATTAAAAAACCGAATCTTCTCGTATTTTTGGTGCGTGTATTATTTTTCTTGAATTAATTGGAAGGTGTTTGTACCCACTGTCTCGATGCCAAACAATGGTAAATCGCAGCTCTCGATATTTATGTTCTTGTTCCGGTTGTTGTTGTTGTTGTTGTTGATGATCATTGGTGTTCGCAGCATCGTCTCCCATTTGAAGTGCATTCACAGAGTTTAGCGGCCAGTTTTTCCAATAGTACATTTTGGGTGACGCTAATCGCTCTGGTTTGGATTCTTTTGGCAGATTTGCTTGATTTACTAGACCTCTGTCGATCAACTTTTTCACACAACGGTCCAACGTTTTGCGTCGTGAGCCCTTTTTTGATACAATTAGCGGCGGCAACGACATGTATTTGGCAATCTCCGGTGGTATTGAAGCATTGCGTGGACAATTCTTGCATGCTTTGAATCGGAATTTTTTCGTTTCTTTCGGGAACTTCACCATGCAACTGGCACAGTGTTGCGATGTGTAAGCTTCGTCCACTCTAACGACATCTGAATGATGTAATTTTTGAACGCTGTTTTCAAGACGTCGTGTTCCCGGGCATCGTTTGGTCTTCTTCTTACCGATTGGCGAATTGGCTGGCAAGTCCGCGTCTCCGATGGTAAACAGCGATGGTTTATTCTTTGTCAATGATTTTGCTAACCAATCGGTTTCGTGCTGTGAGTCGATGTACTTGTCCAACGATAGCCGTGCATATCCTCGCCGAGCATATGCCGTCAATCCATCCTGCATCATTTTCAATCGATGATCGAGATAGTATATCCAGCCGTTTCCGCGCGGTGATGGTATTACTAGATAGTTTTCCTCGCGATCGGACTGTTCCATCTTCGTGAATGTTGCTGTCATGCGAATTCTTCTGGAATCAGTTTCCATCGAGCCAATAGTGCTAACAAATCCTTATGATCGAATCTGATGTGTTTGAGTTTATTATCACATAACGGTACAACGGTGATATTGCGAATCTTTGGCGGCAGTGGTTGCGTCGGTTTTTCGAACAACAATGGTTTTTTCTTGTGTCGCAGCCATGCATGCACTAGCTGTTGATGTTCTGCCTTGAATTCACTAATTTCACGTTGTATTTGGATGAAAAAATAAAGTGATTCAAACCACTTTTTCTCGATGTATTGAGTCATTGTGAGATAATCGCCAAATGATGGTAAACAACGTTCTTTCACGGCAACAAACAGCTCATTCATTTTGAATTTTCGAACTGGATCGCCTTCACTCCAGTCTTTATTGCGCATAATGCTTTCGATTGCGTTTCGAATGTCGATGTCATCAAATTTGAATAATCTGTATGGTTCCTGATTGAATTGGTAGCGCTTCATTTGCAAGAAGTACGCCAATTCCTTCTCACAATGTGTGGTATGCTGTGTTGTCACATTGCTAAGGTATTGTTGATGCATATACTCAAATGCATTTCCCATCAGATCACGAGATGGCCACTCAAATTCGTTGTTAGTCAATTCCTCGACCATTTCTTTAAACTCGTCTGGCATTTGATTTGTAAATTCACCATCGATGCGTGCCACAGCGGTGAAAATTTTACGAATTTCCTTTTTTCCATTAGTTGTAATAAAATAATCATGATCATCGTTATCAAACGCCTCGTTGACTTTATACAGCAATAAAAGTGACGCCAGATACGATATTTTTGATACTTTCAAGCATTCACCATAAAAGTGACCGACGAGGTAGTCTGCATATTCATCTCTGAATATTGAGTTGGCGGGTACTTTACGTGTTCGTTTTTCGACATTTTCTTCCTTCTTTTTCTTTTCTTCTTGTTTTGCTTTCTTTCTCGGAACACCGCCAAAAATTTTAGGTCCTCGCCTTTTTGCCATTATGATTCTAATGAGAATTAAGAAAAAATCCATTTTTATTTTGTACTGTTACAATCACCGTAAAAAAATGCGGTATCAAATGCAATTGTATTCAAGAAATTTATCGAAAAAAAAAAACCAACGGTACAATTATTAATATGATTTGCATTCGATTGTGAAATTCATACGACAAACAATGTAAACTATTGACTGAAACACACAAAATGACAACCAGAACGAGTTCTTATGAAGCGACTTACTTCGTTGAAATCTCAGCTAACTCTGATGCATTCGATGCCAATATTCAGTGTCGTCAACTCGCTGTAAAAACTGTCTACTAATAATAACCAATACCAACCAAAATATTTCCACGTTATCCTCAGTTGATTTTATTATGACAGAGTCTCCCTTATATATTTGAACAATATTTCGATGTATTAATACCTTTATAAAGGCAACGATTGGAATCTTTATCCCATCAGCTCAATATGAACACCGATTGTACAATGTGATGAAATACTTCCAATATTGACAACGAAATTCAAATATTTTGCTGCGTCACTTTAGAATTGAGAATGTAAAACAGAACGATGCTAAAAATCATATGGAAGCATTTGTTTATACTAACAATACTGTCACACGATGCGAACGCTTTGAATGCAGAGCAATATTTAATATATACAAATATCGTTCGTATATGTGTGCGTCAACCGCAAAATATCAGAAAGATTCGGTTGCATTTCGAAAATTCTTGAAGCAAAGAAAAATAAATGCAATAAATGACGTATAAAAAATGTTTTTCTCCAGAATTTCAAATCAAATTACGCAAATCTCTTCTCAAATGAATTGTTTATTTTTTATTTGAGCGTGAATAAACAAATGAATCGTTAGATTTGCAATTTAAAACTTAACGTATTGGGTTGTGTTCACATTATGTTGTCAAATGAAATATTATTGGAAGTGAAAGAAACAAGTGGATCCATTCCATTGGAATTCGTGGAAACTATGCATATAATGTCCGTTCCATTTGACACTATAAAATAAAACTATCGTCAAACAAATGCTAAATGGAATGAAGAGTGTCAGTCATGTGTCGTGTTAAGTTATTTAAGCATAAGATAGCCATAGATAAACATATACCATAGAAATATTGCATTCCATTTACAATGTTTTGGTTGCATGTGTTGATGTGGTTTCGGTTGCGGTCTGAGGCATAGGTCGGAGATATGGGTATAGTACTGGGCAACCTGGTTTCGGATTTTATTTGAAGAGGAGTTTCCATTTGCAACGACAACGAAATATTGAAATGGCGGTTTTAGCCGATCGTAAATCATTTTAATTAAGTGTATATCTATATGCATGTGTATGTGTTTGCCTGATTCATATGACTGATAGGATGGCTGAGGCTAGTGGTTAAAAGTACCATATTTGTTTTTCCTTATGCACAATTCTAGTAGTTTTCAAAGATTTGTGAAACATTGATGTTTGACAACGCATTGTGGTCTATTAACGATGCACAGATATTTAATTTTCGGAGAGTTTTGTACAGCCAAAACCTTTTCACTTCAATTGAAACTATGATCATGCTCGCAAAACAGAGAGAAATACAGAGAATAAATGTGTATTTTGTACAATTGACTTTGGGTTCAAGTAACACACCACACACATAAAAAGAAATACATTCAATCCCAACGAAGAAAATGCCGAGCAATACAATTTTATTACGTCATTCAATACGTTCTTTTTTGTTTCGTTTGAATTTTATTTTCGATCCGTTCACTAAGAGCGAACGAACCGAAAAATCATAAATAAATGGTCATAAATCACTGAACGAGCCCACAATAACGCATTCAATTGGAAAATCTCTTGAGGTGTGTGTATGGAAAATTGTTATTACACAAACTGAAAGTGCGAGAAAATCAGAAATCCGCACAAAGATACGAATCGAGAGAAGTGAAAAAATATATATATAATATATAATTACACCGTCGTTCAATTTAATTTATACACGCCATGTGTGAAAAATTATTATAAGCGCGATGAGTAAAAGCATTTGCACTCACTCTTTGTTTCTATACGTGCCTCTCTCTCTCTATTACTCTATCTCGCATGCTCTCTCGGTCGGCAACCAATTGAAGCCACCGTTTTACGATAGAAACGTCAGCAAACAAAAATGTTATAAATGTCAGTGAACATTATGAACCTCTTATGTAATGCCACTTTGTGTATTTGGGTACTTTTTTTCCTTTTTAGCTTGTTCTTGCTTGCACATACACAAATTTCGTGTGTATATTTTCTCTCGCCTGAAGCTCATCCGACCGGGATAATATGTCGAAAGTATATGCTAAATAAATAAGCAAACTGAGTGAGTGTGCATTCCAAGAATATAGTTTTGCATTTCGTTACTTTCGTAACGCAACACAACACATCCTGTTCACAAATGCTGAGATATGAGATACGTGGTGTTATGGTTTTAGGTGTGTGTGTATGTGTGTATGGATGTGCTCGAAAAACAGTCGCCCCGAAAAATCTCTCGTTATCGTTTATGCTCTGCTTCTTTCTCTCGCCCACACAGATATATAACTTTTTTCCGTATAAATTCTCTAGTTTGCTTTTAAATATTAAAAACTTTCTTGGAATATATTGACGTGCTTTCAGTCATTCTGACTCATAACGATTTTCGGAAAACTATATATCTCTCATTCTCTCCCCCAATCTTTCTCTCTTTCTATGCACAAAATTTTGTTGAAATATTTAAGAATGTTTTTTTTTTTGTTTAATGCAAAATGATTGAAATAGTGAGCGAACGAAGGAAGGAAGGAACGAATGAGATCCCATTTTATGCACCCTGAAATGCTGTCGACGCGAGCTGGGCTTTCAACCGTACACTTTATGAAAATTGTGAAAATATTTAAATGATGCCGCATATAAAATGCCAACCCATTCGCCTAAAGAAGAGAATGAAGTGAATGTTTGTATACATGACGAAAAAAAAACGACGAACGTTCTTTCGTTTACTCATTTTAAATCCGAGAGTCAAGACCAATCTGCACATGAAAAACGACGAACCACGTGCAATATCACACAATTTTGCGAGCGAATTATACTGAACAAATCTTTCCTTCACGCTGAAAAATCCAGATCCAGCGCACGAAAGAGATTCCCGCATCCAAGTGCAAAAATAGTGGTAGTGTTTTATTGAAGGGAAAATTTTCTGCTATTTATGCCCAACATTGGCATTTGTTCTGGGAATTTTTCGTTTTCATTTTATGTATTAATGTAAACTGACAACGATTTTTGCATGTCTCGTCTATCGCAGAAATATTGCAATTGTACCGTCGAATCGTTTGCTTGCCGTGAGTGTCATTCATTCGTTCTTGCATCTTAATGAATTCTTTCGATTCAAAAGCGTGTAATATGCACGCTATAGAATAACCAATAACTTGATATTTTAATGAAAATTTAACGGAACATGAGAGAAAAAGCGCACATACCGCGATTGTTTTTCATAAACTGCGCGTGATTTGTCTTGACATCTGTAAATAAACATTTACGAAATGTAAACCGCTCAAAATTAATAACAAAATCGAAATGCCGAAGCGAAATAGTGAAGAAAAAAAAACACACCATCAAGAAATGAAATTGGTTAATGTTTATTGTTTCATTGCGCGCTCGCGGTTGTATTGGGCTAATGCGTAGTAATGGCATTGATATAATTTCTTTGGCATTTTCTTTTGTCTCGTTTAACACATTGTAAACAGAATTAATGAAACTGAACACTGGAGAATTTCTTCTATTTGGATTTTGAACGGTTATTTCTTTATTGGTGTTTGCGCCCGCTTTTCATCGTACATATTTTTTGAGCGATGGAAGTCAAGAAATCCGTCATCAATTATATTCGAATGAGAGTCGAACGATTCACTCGGGTTGAAGCGAATCAAATTGCCAGAAAATTTACGATTCTATTCATTCCAGTATATGAAATGTAGTGGAAGAAATATGGCCAAAGAACATGAAGACGACAAATAAGAAATATGTGTGAGTTGATTTAGCATTTGATATATCTCATTAAAAAATATTGTCGAAATCATGTCAGATGTTCTGCCTCATTAATGAAATGAGGCAAAAATCCACGCTTATTTGGTGCGATGTTTTGTTTTGTTAGATATGCGCTGAAAATGTGTGAAGCGAGCGCATACTCTTAGAATGTTGGCAACAAAGAATGGCGATGACAACAAACGTCGTTGGCAACAATCAAATAACCGACCGACCGAGTGAGAACGAATGAACAACAACGAAAAGAGAAAAAAAAGAAACAGTTCAAAATGAATAAATAAATACCGTTAAACAAACGATACGATACGCGCGTTAAGGCTAAAAACTTTATTTCAACGAAAATTACGCGATTTTTCCCTATAAATTATAAATGTGCCAAAAGAACCGCTTTTTCATTTCTCTCGTCTATTGAATTGGTCGTACGCACAGTGATTATGACGACGTAATAAGACAGCAATTGAGAGATAAAGAGAACTCAAGCAAAACGCACAATTTGATGACACACAAACGACACATTTGATGACTTCACCCCTTCAGCGTATACAATTCACACTTTGTTTGCCTTTGGATTTCGATGTTCGTTTATGCATTCATTTTACTACAACTAAAATCCGTTCTTTTCAGTCGTACCGAAATTCTTTTAACCAAAATTTCCGAAAGATAAGTAACGGCCAGCATAAACAACGCAACATAATACAAAAAAACCATTTTGAATACATACACACGCAGAGAGAAAGAGAAAGGGGGGAGAAAGGAAGAAATAAAAAAGAGTAGAAGAAGCAAAAAAGAAATATGGAAAACTAAGCCAAAAACAATTTGTAAATAAAATATGCGTACTGGATTATTCAAAAACATACGCATATGCTTTACGTTCAACATTGAAACGCATTCAATAAAGAAAGAAACGCGCATATAGTTCAATGGCTTTGACGACAAGATGAGAATGGAACAATCCGAGCCTCTGAATAGAATAGAATAGAAAAGCCGTGCTGTATATTTACGTAATACGTATTTTGTGTTCAGTACAGTGGAATTTAGGCTAAAAACCATTTGCGATGGGAACCAATTTTGAGACGCAAAATATTACCATGTACACACAAAGGCGCTGAATGGGCCCAGCGAACAGATTACTTTGTTCGCTCAATCTCTCAATCTCAATGACATAACAATGTGTCATTTTGAGAGATGTAAAATGTATGTGTACAGCGCGCATTTGCCTCTTGACATTTATTTTTCCTCGTCAAATGAATGTTTCGAACGGGGGTGACTATATTCCGTTCTTTGTTTTGGTTTTCGCTTAATTTTACAAAATGCGCAATG